GCAAGCACAGGCTGGAGGGGAGTATCCCGGCCCGGGACCCTTGGCACGGGAGGAGGTCAAAATGGCTGAGGTGGGTCACAGGAAGCCCCCAGGATCACTAGGAGGAGGGTCTGGGTGAGCCACCTACTGTCTCCCCTTCCAGAAAGCCACACCAACCACTCTCAGCCACTCAGTATGTCCCCGATTGGAGTGAGGGCAGCAGGGATTCCGTGGGGACACAGAACGGCTTCCATGAGATCTTGGTCCCTCTGCTTGCCCTCGGTCACTCCCATGGCTTCTCAAGGCACCATGAGGGCTCTGCTCCCCAGACCAGATCCCCCAGAGCTGGTCAGCTCAGGGCCCTGCAGGCCCCTCCCTAGGTCACTTCCAGACCCTTTGGCCAGGGTTGGAGGACTGGTGGTGACTGTGCCACCATTTTGGCTCTGTGACCACCTCTCTCCAGAAGGCCTAGAGCACAGCTGCCAAGGGCACTGCCCTCCACATGTGGGGAGAAAGTGCTGGGTGAACTGGGAGGGCACAGGGAGCGGGGAGGTGGCTGGACCAGGAGCCAGCAATCCCTTTCCCAGCTGAGAGAGCCTTTACACACGCACACATTTGCAGGCACGGGTGTGCACCCACCCTCCCATCCCATGGTGCCATTTCCCCTCATTGGCCCCCAAAGTCCCACTTCCCAAGTCCTGCTTTCTGGCACAGGTCACTAAGATGAATGGTGGCTTTGATTTGGGGACCAAAGCAGGGGTCCTGGGGATGACTAGAGGGCCCATTCTGCCTCGGCCCCAGCAGAAGTCCAAGCACCCACAGTTTTCCTGTCCCCTTTGTCATGAAGCCAGAAACCTCAGCCTTGTTCCCCAAGCTCAGGGCCCCGAGACACCTGTTCTTAACCCACAGTCTCCGGGAAAGCTGAACAGCAGAGCCACTCCCACATTTAAGAAGGGGACATGGACCCCCTCGCTGGGGCCTCCTTCCTGACACTCCTGAGCTCCAATCCCCCCAATGCTCAGCCTGCCCCACATCATCTTCCCCGCCCTGCGGTGCTTGTGGGACAGAACACACCACTGGCCCCCAACCACCATGCCCAACACCGGGTTTTCCACGGAAACTCCCCAACTGGCCCCGAGTTCCAGAGGGTGGCGAGCAGGACCCAGTTTCCATGGCCTCACCTGCCACCTGCTTGCTGCGCTGGGAGGCCTCGGAGGCCAGGGCGTAGGAGATGTTTATGATGCGCTCCTGCTCCTGTATCTGTGAGTCCAGGTCGGCCACGCTGTTCCTCCGGTCCTGGCCTGAGGCCGGCTGCAGGTTGCACATGCTGCAGGACGGCCAGAGAGCAGGTGGTGGGCCCTCACCACCCCACCATCTGCCTCTGGGGGTGGGGGTCTCCTGGCCTGGGGCTCTCATTCTTGTAGGGGGCATTGATAAAAACAGTGCTCTTTCGCCCAGCCAGCATGGCTCAGTGGTTGAG